AGGAACTATGGGTCTATCTCGTTTCCTTTTGCCTGTTACAAACAAATGCACAAAGACATAATACCCTGACCAGCTTGTGGTGTAGGGTATAAATAGGCAAACAATATTTACCTCTTGTTTATGACCAAAATTTTATGATAATCACCAATAAATTGGGATTGTTCAATATATATTTAATTTTTTCTATTCATTTGTTGATGTCTATGCACATTTTGTTATTGAACACAATTTTATATTTACGCGGTGTTTGTTACTTCAAAATTACAGCACACACAAAAACACACCCTCACCTCACGAAAGTAACACACACACACTCTCTCAATTTAAGCACACGTACACACGTATTGTAAAGAGTTTGGCAACATTTTCTACCTGTAATTTGTAATTTTTATTTCCAACGTTTAGAATACCGTGCTGCGTGGTATTTAGTTTAGTACGTTTTTCAAATTCGTACTTATGTTCTGGAGAACCAATAGAATCAGAATACTGAAATTTAAAAATAAGATTTCCATTGGACTGTATGATGTATGTAGTTATGAAAATTTTTACTAAATGGTACTAAATTCGGTATAAATTAGAATTGTGCTAAACCGATCTCAATGTTACTTGTGATGGCTTGTGATCCAAGTTTTTCTTAATTTATCATAAAAAATAAAAGAGGAGAGGTTTGTAATTAATGGACTCGAAACCCCTGAACAGATTTTCCTGAAAATCTTCAAATATACTACAACATCGCCTGAAATTAACATAGGCTATATCCATCTTTGAAATTCCACTTGGAACTGTAGATAGAGCATTAGAATCGGCGGTACCTCCCAAAAATTTTGATTTTATACACATATCTATTGATCGATTACAGATACAGTTTCCAAATTTGGAATTCGTAACGGAATTTGAAACAAAAACAAATTTTCAAAATCATATTGCTTTTATTTTTGGATATAGCTCCCATACATATTTTCGATCGATTTCATGTATTTGATGCACTAAATACGCTGTGTACGGAACATTTCAATAAAATTTGGAATTTGTGTATAAAATTGTTTGCCGAATTATATGCAAATCGGTTCAGATATGGATATAGTTCCCACATACATATTCAGCCGATTTCATGTATTTGATGCACCATACACGCTATGTATCTCTAATTTCAATGAAGTTTGGAATGTGAACATTTTACAAATTATATTGAAATCTGTTCAGATTTATTTGATACACCAAACACGATACGTATTCCTGATTCCAACGAAATTTGGCATGAGTGACTGAATTTGGTACAAGTTTGTTAAATTATATTCAAACCGTTTCAAATTTGGATATAGCTCTCGTATCTATTTTCGGCCGATTTTACATATTTGATGCACCCAACGCGATATTTACATCCGATCCCAATGAAGACGAAAGAGAGACGAAATTTGATACCAAAACAAATATGCCAAATTATATTGAAACCGGTTGAGGGTATAGCTCCTATATATATTTCAGCCGATTTCAAGTATGTTATACTTAATGTGACCATTTATATTTTTCGTCAGAGCGGGACGCCTGCGGAATTTTGTAAAAAAAAAAAAATATGCATTTAAAAACAAATTTTATTCAAAAACGGAGAGAATACGTATAAATCTAATTTATGAAATTAATCTTATGTCTAAGTATTTGTTTTATATTTGTCAGCAGAGCAAATTAGTTTTAAAATATCGGGTCTAGTTTTAAAGTAGGAATGGAGCTGATTACATTGTTTGTTGATGTTAGTCTTAGTAATTAAAATAGCTTTTAAAACTGTCACACTTAACTGCGTTTTTTCACTTGTCCATATTTTATTCATTAGGGAGAAAACTCTTTCGACAGGTGCGTTACTTCCAGGCATACATAAAACATACTCAATAATTGTGCGAAAGTTTGTGCAGTTGAGATTATTAGCACGGAAGTGTTTAAACAGCTCCACCCAACGGTCTTCAGTAGCAACATTCTCATCGTTCCAGCTTTTGATTTTTTGACTGTGACGTAACTGGATAAACGAAAACTCATCGAACACCTCCGTATCTTGGCTACTGCTAAGAAATCTTTGTGTGATCAGCAAATCCGTCACATTCTGTACGTTTTCCCATGTAGGGACTTTTCTCAAATTTGACCATTCAAATACTGCTAGTTGTGCATTGAACTGGCACCACTGTTCCAAGTATTCTTTACTTGTCTTATAAAAATCCACTGCCGCAGTTTTCACATTCTGCTCATCAACAGCAACGTCAGTTTTTTGTAATTTTACCAGTAGATTGCGGACGGAATGAGGAAGGAAAATCGAATTCTCTTTAAGTTCTAAGTTATCTCGGAGACGATTAATTTCATTCGCAGACTCTATTGCGGACACGTTTTGTCCCTCGATTTTCAACACGGCTTGATGAAAAATCGCTGTCTGTGCGTGCAAAAAATATAACCACAATTCAGAGCTGGGATTTTCGAAAAACGTTTTTAAAATAGTAGGGCATTTATCTATGCTCAGAAAATAGGTTTTCAAAGGCTGAAACATTTTTAAAATTCTCTCAAGCGCCGGCATTAAAGTAAGCCACCTTGTTTTACTGTAGCCCAACAGTTTCTGATACTCTGTGTCGGTGGAATCACAGAACTCTTTTAGAACTTCTACCCGAATGCTGTAGATGTAGAAGAATGAATAATTTTTCACAATGATGCATTCGAAGTCAGGCATTTTGATAGCATTATGAATTATATGGGCTCCACACCCAATCCCAATGAGCTGCCTTCCGACGGATAGGTTCAATTTCGCGTAAACATTATTTATCCCTTTTCTATTCTTTCCTCCGAAATTGCAGTTTGTATTGTCTGCACAAAATGCCACAATTTTCTTATTCAAATCATTGCAAGATAATACTTCTTTCAAATAATCCACAATTATATCAGATGATTCGCCTGGCTGCTTTTGAAACTCTAAAATCCTGACTCTCATTTTATTGAGCCATGATTGGAAGCATCGGATAATAAAGATATGCAGTGGGCTTCGTGAAGGTGTTCTTTCAATTCGTCCATCGCCATAGGTGCCAGCACATTTACAACTATAGCTTGTGATTTTGTACGGGCACATCTAAATTTTTGCTCAAAACATGTTTGTATTAGATTTGAAGCACAGCCATTCGAACGAAAACTGTGGTTTTCTTGCACTGTGTGGTACGCCCACGTACCCTCCGCTGCAGCTATATCCAAGTCTTTGGAAGTCGCCAAATTTGTTCTTTTAAAAAAAGAAAGCATTGACGAGCTTGAAGCGGCAGCTTGATCAGAAAGCTTGTGTTTTTCCGATTTTGAATGCTTCTCAATATCACTGGCACCACCATGTCCAAAACTAAAATCAGTACGACATTTTTCACACGTAACGTCTGATTCACCACTTCTTTGTTTTATAAATGGATACTTATTTTGCAAAGAAATGTTAAAAGTACACTTGCGTTTAGGCATTATTGTAATGTTACAATCACTAACATTGAAAATAAATTGTTTGACTTTGCTCGCCTTCTCCGACTCCGCGATGAAAAGATACCAGAACAATTTAGAGCGTCTATGCTTAGGGTACTGACAGAGTGACAGAAACTTTTTCTGTTTTTATAAGGATTTTTAATTTGGTGATTTCCCTTGTTATGCTGGAGTTAATGTCAGCGGCGTTAAGATTAACTGCTCTCATAAAATTTCATACGATTCAATTTTTTTGACATTTGACGCCGTCGACGACGTCGACATTAACTCCAGCATTAGCATTACAAAATCTTTCGAGTTAATTTTAATGTTAATGTTGCTTGAAAAAAACTATGCAAATAAATTATATGTTCACGGGAAAAAAATAACTCATGTATTTTTCATCAATATCAATATCCAGTATTTTCGAAAGCGGGACATTTTTGCTCTCGCTGGGGACAGCGGGACAGATAACCTCAAAGCGAGACTGTCCCCCCCAAAGCGGGACGTATGGTCACGTTAGTTATACTCCAAACACGATATGAATGTCCGATCCAATGACATTCAGAATATGTGGCGGAATTTGGTTCTAATGATAAATTTGACAAATAAATTAGAAATTGGTTAAGGTTTGGATATAGATCCCATATATATGCTCACCCGATTTAAAATATTTGATGTACCAAACAAAAGGTGTGAGGGAATTTGGTGTAAAAGTAATTTTTGTCAAATTATATTGAATTCGGTTCAGATTGGGATATGATTTTATTAAGAAGCTTTGACTCACAACACCTATGCAATGGCATTAGACTAACAGTAAAAAACTACACAACAATTTAATTGAGGATATGATTATTATGGGGAAGTATGTTGCTTCTCTAATAGCAACAGAAATTCCACTCAACTTCTAAGTATTGCAGTTTCCTACACGCTTGACTTTTGCTATGAAATTAATAAATCAAGCTCTTCGGTTATATTTCATAAATTTACTTCTGGGCTGAATTTGGTCGTATGTGTTTTATTTATTTTGGTCAGATGTTAAGTCGAGCTAACATATATGCAGGAGCTATATCCCAAACTGAACTGACTATACCAAGTTTGGGCTAACAAATGAACTGAGCAAAGTTTAGTCTCAGTCGGATAATAAATACATGGAACGAGGAAGAAACCGCATTAAAAATTTGGTGAAAATTTTTTCTATTACACATTTGCAAACATATTCTTCCAAATATTGACAAATCCAAATCGGCTTGTTCTTAGAAAAAGTTCTTGATTGTTATACAGGAGTTGCATTCTGTCGTTGCTCCCTGAACAGATAACAAATGTCGAAAGCTTAGCTTTAAGCCGTAATGACAGTATTAAGCAGAAAAATTGCCCCTCATATTGTCAATTAATATATGAAATGCTTTTATGTAGTACAAAAAAGTCTTAACGTAGCAAGGCTTCTTCTTTCCGCGTCTGTAGTAAAAATGCGCATGACTAAAGAAAGTTTTCAGATGTTGGAACTTTAAGCGAATTTGTTTAGTTTACTTTCCGTTACAATATATAGCAGACGTAGGAGGCAAAGCGGAATTTTCATCTTTTGGCAAAAATAGTTTCAATTAATTAAAACACACGACTGATACAAATGTGTAGAAAGAACTTTTAATATGCAAAGAAAAATACAAGAGTGAAAAAGAAATTTATTAATAAAATAGTTAATGCAGATAATCACATTTTTCCAGTATCATTAAGCACAACTAATTAAATTAAGACAAGTATGCACATACTTTGTCTTCTAGTACGAAGCGTAGTACATACAATTACAATGCCAATGTCACAAAAATCGAATAACTGCTAAAAATCAATAAAGTAAAAAATCGAATAAATATGGATAAATTGCGCGATTATCAAGGCTTTACAGGCCGACTTCATGAATGGCGTGATAACATAAAAGAGAAATTATCAGGCTTCCGAGAGCAAAATCCCGAAAATATTGTGGATCTTGCTAAGAATACAGCAAATTCTCAATTGAAAGGCAATGCTAACGCTAATCAAGATTATTCCCACATCTATAGGTGATTGGATATTTTGGTTATTCATATTCCTATATGTTTAAAATTATTTTAATTATTTAAGCCAAAAGAATATTGTGGAAAAATGTATTTGTATATTTTTTTAAAGAGCCGTGTTCATGTTTTCTCCTTTTTACAAAGTTGACATCTTTGTGGTGTAAATTTTAAATCGAATGAGACATAAGGAGGTAAAGTAAATTCGCAAATATACCACGCCCGCCCGCCACCACGGCCTTTTCGGTCAGATTTATCCGAAATAACATGCAACAAGTGTTATTCATTTATTTAATATTTATCTTTATGAAATGGAAAATGAGTGAAATGTCCTTAATTTTCTTTCAAAAGTAAATACAAAACGGTTTCATTATTAATTTCTAACGCAAAACTGCTTAAAATTTTCAATACGCAATCTGCGGGGTTTGTTGCAAATTTTAATTTTAAAAAAAATATTTGTACAGGGTCCAAAACATCGAGTGTATCATCGGCTGTGACGCACATATCACCGTCCTGACACTACTAAATTTTTGTAAAAACAAGTTAAAAAGTATCAGTCGGTATTGCCGACAGATATATACCCTCAGCCTGTGTTCGATTATTTAAATATAATTTGACTAGTGTTACAATTATTCAAACGTTTGACCCTCTATGGAGCAGGTTCCGGAAGAATGGGCCAATATTGTATATTTCGTATCGGACCCAAAAATATGATATAAATATTCCGACGTTCCTGGTATGGATTATATCGACTAACTCCTTCACTTTATAGGAAATATGTAATAATTTTTAGAAAATGTTAAAATGTGCCTGATGTACAAGATAGAATCTACCGAAATATTCCACATTTATACTTCATCTGATAAAAATGAAAATATTGAGCGGAATCTTGGGCAACATTGCAAAGGATATTTATGTCCAATTTTATGCGAAATCGTAAATTCCGATAAAATTCATATTTATATCAGGCTTCTTATTGGGAGAAATATTTGAGCATAGCAAGTAGTAAAGAAGTTTCTAATTGTTTCGAAAGTTATGACAGATAAAATTATTGAAAATTGTGACCCCAGAAGGGGTTGGTTTTCCAAAATCTTGAACCCTATGTTTGGGGGAGATGAAATGGTTCGATCTATATCACCTTTATAACAGATCTTGTGTTGATAGAAATATTGAGAGTCTAAATGGAATCGGATATTAATTTGGCGTTTTATGAGCTTTATGGGTATTCAAAATTTCGACACTTTGTGGGGGAGGTACCAGGTGGAGTAGACCGATACATTCCATGTTAACGCCAGATCTTGGGTTTATAAAAATATTGGAATGTGTGAAATTTTAAGACGTTCGGATCCTTACATTACATTTTATAAGAGTTATAATTATCCAAAATTTTGACCCTTTGTGGGGGAGGTCCCTGATGGAGTAAACCGATATTGTCCATTTTCGCACCGGGCCTAGAACTTAAGCAAATATTAGGATTCGCAAAGTTCGAGCAAAATCGGATCATCCTTTCTCTTTCTGTGCAGAAAATATATTTTTTGAAAATTTCGACCATTTGTGGGGAAGGTACCAGAAGGAGTGGACCGACGTATTCCACCTTCAAACCAGACCTTGGGTTAATAAAAATATTGGGATGTGTGAAATTTGAAGACCATCGGACTCTTACTTCACATATTATAAGAGTTGTTATTATTCAAAATTTTGACCCTTTGTGGGGGAGGTACTTGATAGAGTGGACCGATATTGTCCATTTTCGCACTTGACCTAGCACTGACAAAAATATTAGAATTCGCAAAGTTGGAGCAAAATCGGATTTCTCTTTCTATGCAGAAAATATATTTTTTGAAAATTTCGACCTTTTGTGGGGGAGGTACCAGAAGGAGTGGACCGATATTGCCCATCTCCGAACTCGATCTAAGTTTGACAAAAATATTACGATGTACAAAGTGTGGACCAAATCGAGTACTTCCTTCGAGAGTTATCGTGCGCACCAGCCAGCCAGACAGACAGACGGACGGGCGGACATCGCTAGATCGACTCCAAATGTTCTGAAACGGATTTGGTCCAAAGAGACCTAGGGTCTAAAACCGTTTTGACCGTATCTGTAGCCATATGGCTGAGGGTATAAAGAAACGTTCAACATTATCCGGGCGGCCACTCCTTGTTCATTTTCGAAGAAAATTGTCCCAAAACTGCTTTTTTACTTTTGTTCATATTTCACGAACTTTTTATACCCTCCACCATGCATAGTGTGGAGGGTATATAAGTTTATCATACCATTTGTAACTCATCGATATAATAATTTTAGACCCAACAAAGTATATAAATTCTTTATCAGCGTAAAATTCTAAGTCAATTTAGCAATGACCGCCCTCCTGTTTTTGAAAAGCGACGCAACTCGAAACGACGCAAATCGGAACGACGCACAGAGGGGTGAAATCACAAAACACGGAGATGAATTGAAAAGTAAAATTCGTCTTTTGGAATAAATGCTTTTAAACAATCATAGAACACTAAATTCTACATCAGTACCGAACATTTTAAAGTCGTACCTTGTTTAGTTTTCTAATTACACAGTGGCAAAGTTAAGAAATATTTCTTTTTTTCGCAAGAAAAAGGGAAAAAATTATCCTTGTTTTTTTGAAGTGAAATAATTTAGTGTGAAATAATTTAGAAAAGTGATATTTTTAAAACTGAAACCTCGAATACAGGCTGTTATCAATGTTTTTGAATAAAAAAGTTTTAAAAATAATGATGTCAAAATATTTTAAAAAATAATTTCAAATATTACCATATTTTCGCCATATTCGAAAAGTATAAAGAGTTAAAAAAATAATATCGAGAAAATCTTACAAATTTCAATTTTGTATTTTAGTATCGAATGTCATCTTTTATAATCAACAAAAAACTCGTGCCGTTTTTGTTAAATATAAACCAGTAAGGAAAGCTCAAAAGTCGGGCGGGGCCGACTATATGATACCCTACACCACTATGCATATTTAGTAGAGCTCTCGTAAAAAGGTTTATTCAGGGCATTTCAAAGCTCTATGATATTTGGTACAAAATCAAAATCTATCTAATTTTATCGTGCATTTTACGAACTATAGCTATCTCTGAACCGGGTTTCTCCAAATTTTACGTATTAGCTTCTAGACTGAATTCGGTCTTATGTACGAAAATTCAGGTGATTTGGGCTGATATTGACCATTTAGTGCACATTTAACCCGAAATCGGATGAAGATATATATGGGAGCTATATCCAAATCTAAACCGATTTCGATAAAATTTAAAACAGCTATTCCTGTGCTCCATCTAATACCTGGTACCAAATATCACGGTAGTGGAGTGAATATCACGAATGTATGGGACTAAAACACCAAATCGGATGAAACATATATATGGTTGCTATATCTATATCTGAACCGATTTTCACTAAATTTGATATACTTGCTTCTAGCCTGAATTTGGTCCAATGTACTAAAATTCAGTCCATTTGGATTTATATCGGCCATTTGGTGCACAATTAACCCGAAATCAGATTGTCCATTTTCGCACTTGACCTAGCACTGACAAAAATATTAGAATTCGCAAAGTTGGAGCAAAATCGGATTTCTCTTTCTATGCAGAAAATATATTTTTTGAAAATTTCGACCTTTTGTGGGGGAGGTACCAGAAGGAGTGGACCGATATTGCCCATCTCCGAACTCGATCTAAGTTTGACAAAATATTACGATGTACAAAGTGTGGACCAAATCGAGTACTTCCTTCGAGAGTTATCGTGCGCACCAGCCAGCCAGACAGACAGACGGACGGGCGGACATCGCTAGATCGACTCCAAATGTTCTGAAACGGATTTGGTCCAAAGAGACCTAGGGTCTAAAACCGTTTTGACCGTATCTGTAGCCATATGGCTGAGGGTATAAAGAAACGTTCAACATTATCCGGGCGGCCACTCCTTGTTCATTTTCGAAGAAAATTGTCCCAAAACTGCTTTTTTACTTTTGTTCATATTTCACGAACTTTTTATACCCTCCACCATGCATAGTGTGGAGGGTATATAAGTTTATCATACCATTTGTAACTCATCGATATAATAATTTTAGACCCAACAAAGTATATAAATTCTTTATCAGCGTAAAATTCTAAGTCAATTTAGCAATGACCGCCCTCCTGTTTTTGAAAAGCGACGCAACTCGAAACGACGCAAATCGGAACGACGCACAGAGGGGTGAAATCACAAAACACGGAGATGAATTGAAAAGTAAAATTCGTCTTTTGGAATAAATGCTTTTAAACAATCATAGAACACTAAATTCTACATCAGTACCGAACATTTTAAAGTCGTACCTTGTTTAGTTTTCTAATTACACAGTGGCAAAGTTAAGAAATATTTCTTTTTTTCGCAAGAAAAAGGGAAAAAATTATCCTTGTTTTTTTGAAGTGAAATAATTTAGTGTGAAATAATTTAGAAAAGTGATATTTTTAAAACTGAAACCTCGAATACAGGCTGTTATCAATGTTTTTGAATAAAAAGTTTTAAAAATAATGATGTCAAAATATTTTAAAAAATAATTTCAAATATTACCATATTTTCGCCATATTCGAAAAGTATAAAGAGTTAAAAAAATAATATCGAGAAAATCTTACAAATTTCAATTTGTATTTTAGTATCGAATGTCATCTTTTATAATCAACAAAAAACTCGTGCCGTTTTTGTTAAATATAAACCAGTAAGGAAAGCTCAAAAGTCGGGCGGGGCCGACTATATGATACCCTACACCACTATGCATATTTAGTAGAGCTCTCGTAAAAAGGTTTATTCAGGGCATTTCAAAGCTCTATGATATTTGGTACAAAATCAAAATCTATCTAATTTTATCGTGCATTTTACGAACTATAGCTATCTCTGAACCGGGTTTCTCCAAATTTTACGTATTAGCTTCTAGACTGAATTCGGTCTTATGTACGAAAATTCAGGTGATTTGGGCTGATATTGACCATTTAGTGCACAT